CCGACCTCACAAAGATGAGACAGAAGAAGCACAACCGGCCGAGGAGGTCCCCCACCCCATGTGGAGACTTTTCGTCGATGGTTCATCCAACGCCAAAGGGAGTGGAGCGGGCCTCATTCTCCTCACCCCCGACAATTCCGTCAAAGAGTATGCGCTGAGATTCCAATTCTCTGCATCCAACAACGAAGCCCTCTTGACGGGGTTGCAGCTCGCTCAAGACCTCGGCTCCAAGCATGTTGAAGTCCTCAGCGACTCGCAACTGGTGGTGAAACAAGTCAACGGTAAGTACGAGGCTAGAGAGTAAAGCATAGCTAAGTACCTTGCTAAAATTCAAGAGTTAGCCTGTCACTTCCAACACTTCTCTCTGTAGCAAGTCCCATGAGCTGAGAACTCCCAAGTTGACACTCTCTCCAAATTGGCGAGCACCTCGGATGCTGCCCTTGGCCACACTGTGCGCGTGGAAAGACTAGCCCGGACATCCATAGAGGACATCCAAATCCTACCCGTGGAGGCCGAACCATCTTGGATGGATCCTATCATCGACTTCCTACTGACAGAGCGGCTACCCGATGATAGGAACGAAGCCCGAAAACTCCGACGACAGGTAGCGCACTACACTTTGCTAAAAGGAAAGTTGTATTAGAGGTCATTCACCTTGCCTTACCTCTGATGCTTCCGCAGGGAGGAGGGCGAGTATGTGCTCCGGGAAATTCATGAATGCATCTGCGGCAATCACCTTGGTGGCCAGACCCTAGCCCAGAAAACATTAAGGCAGGGGTACTTCTAGCCGACACTTCACAAGGATGCGGTCGAGCTGGTGCGGAAATGTAATCAGTGTCAGAGACATGCCAACCTCTGCCATCAACCAGCCACCACCCTCTTGGCCCTCAGCAGCCCCTGGTCCTTTGCCAAGTGGTGGATGGACCTCCTCGGCCCCTTCCCTCAGGCAACGGGAGGCAGGAAGTACATCGTCGTTGTTGTGGATTACTTCACTAAATGGGTGAAAGCTAAACCCTTAGCCACTATCACTGCGTGGGCAATTTAGAACTTCTTTTGGAAGAACATCATTTGCCACTTCAGCCTCCCCCACATGCTGGTCATGGACAATGGAAAGCAGTTCAATGATGCAAAATTCTGAGAATGGTGCACCTCCCTCGGCATCAGGTAATAGTACATCTCAGTGGGGTACCCCCAAACGAACGGCCTGGCCGAGGTCACGAACAGAACCATCCTACACGGACTGAAGACTAGGTTGGATAGAGCTAAAGGCCTATGGGCCGATGAACTACACAATGTCCTCTAGGCATACTGAACCACACCTCGGACAACGATAGGAGAAACCCCCTTCGGCCTAACCTACGGCATGGAACCAGTGATCCCAGCTGAGATTGGCCAACCAACGCTTTGGATCCAAGGGTATACCGAGGACATGAATAACGAGGCACTCAGAGCAAACCTAGACCTACTGAAAGAAACCCGAGAACAAGCACAAATTAGGATGACTGCCTATTAGCAGCAAGTGGCCCACTATTACAACTCCAAAGTGAAAGAAAAGCACTACAAAGAGGGAGACCTCATCCTCAGGAAGGTCATGGTTCTCGAACCTAGAGTAGGGAAACTGAGCCCCAACTGGGAAGGCCCCGACCGGATTAAGAAAGCTCTCGGCCCCAACACATTTCAGCTAGAAAACTTAGATGGAAGACCCGTCCCTCGGACATGGAACTCGGAGAACCTCCAGATGTACTACAGATGAATGTAATTTTTTGATGAAAGTAATGAATGAATGAAGCAAATTTCCTCTTCACTTCACCTCGTCACCTTGTCACCTCGGAGTGTGGTGACCCCCTCGGCTATCTGCACTTAGCACAAAGAAAATAATGAGACAGAGCCCTCTGCTTTGCCGATGGGACGCCTCGGCCTCCCCGGAGAAAACAATTGGTAAGAACGAGTCAGGGGAGTTGCACCCCGATGGTGCTGCTCTATTGTGGCTCTTCATCCACCCAAGTACCTCGACGGTATACTTCGGCCCTAGACCTCGGCCAGGGTGCTAGGTCTCTTTGGCCTCGCCTAAGATAGCATTGGACTTGGAAGCCAGGTGAGCCTTGCCTCGAGCGTATGACTCCACCTCGGCTCCCAATATCCCGACAAGCCGAGATGAGCGTGCAAATAAATGAATGCTACGGCTGAATCATGTGTGCCTTGTGTATCATGGTTTCAACCTTCCGGAGGGGCAAGGACCTCTCACATAAAAAAAGAGAAAAAGAGAAAACAAAGGAGAGGAAAATAGACAACATACACAAAACACATTGTACACAAAAAATGGCTTCATTCACTTCATTCACTATTCAATTTTGATCTTGTATAGCCTTTACAAAATTTTGTATTGTGTTCGAAAAAAAAAAACAACAAAACAGATGGCAACTATTACAGCAACAGAACAAAATAAGAAGGGGAGGAAGTCTACTCCTGTGCCTCATCATGGGGCCAGAGGGGGAATGGCGTCTTCAACTGGGGGAGCCTCGGCAGAAGCGTCGGGGATCACTTGCAGTCCCTCGATATCAAAATCTGACGGCACCAGTAGGAGTGCCTTCTTAGTATCTTCTATGCCGTCGAGGTAAGATGACGAAGCGTACTCCGCCAATGCATTTAGGTAGTTGGAAGACTTTTTGTACGTCTCCACTGCCTCGGCCGTTGCCTTCTTTGACTCCTCTGCCGAAGCAACTCTCTTCTCGGTCTCAACATCTCGTCTCTCCGCTTTTGTGACGATACTCTCTAGCCGCACCCGCTCCACTTGCTCTTTGGAGAGCCCTTGTTGCGCCTCCTACAGCTGAACTTCGAGGCGGTCCCGAAGCGATTGTTCGTCCAAAAGCATCTTGTAGAACTTCTGGTGCTTATCCTCGACACCGGCAGTTACCTTTTAGAGCTTCTCCTCCACAGCCTTCTTCTCCTTCTCAGCCTTGTCGGCGCAACCCATGGCCAGCCTTGTTTGGTTCCCCAAGCCAACGAAGTGTAGACAAGCCTGCCACAAAACCGATTAGTGAAAACAAAAAATAAAAAGAAACATAGACATGGTGAAATACTGAAGAATGTCTTACCTCGGCCAAGTGGTACAGGCCCTCGTCGTAAATAGACTTGGGGTCGCTTTGCAGAAGGCGGTAGCGATCCCTCGACAGGATGGATCCTTTAACCCCCTCGTCGCGGATTGAGTCCACCTCTCGAAGCTGCCATTGGGGGTGGAAAGTCTTGACATCCCCTTCAGTCCTCTCCAAGGCGCCTAATACTGATGGCACTCGGGACCAGAGTCTAAAAACGACATGATTAAGATTACCTAAAAGAGGGTAGAATGTCCCAAAGAAGGAAGGAAGTAAAAAAGTTCTGGAGACTTGGGAGTTGGGGAGTGTTCACTCGAGAGCAAGGGCATCTAAGTTCAAATGGAGAAGAAAAGCACTGCCAGGGTCCTTATTTAAAGGAAAATGAACGACTAGTATTTCTCTAAGTCCAATAGCTGAAACCAATCCACTCCCACCATCCTACTGCGATGTACCACCTAGAGCAAGCCCTGGAAAGACGAAACAATGCCCAAAGCAACGGTTCAGATCGGCGCAGATCCAGCGGACGCGGGAGCCCCCTAGAGCAAGCCCTCGGAAGACGAAACGATGCTCAAAGCAACGGTTCAGATTGGCGTAGATCCAACGGACACGGAAGCCCCCCGTTCCTACGAACTAGTTTCACTGCACCTTCTAGCGCATGCCCTCGGGAGGCGAAATGACGTCGGGTGAACTGCAAAGACTGCCCACGGCAACCCGCCGAGCGAGCCGGAAGGCCCGCTCACCACGAACCACAGGACAAACCGTGCAACCCGGCAAACACAGGACTCCTGGGACGGCCGTCCCCTGCATGGTAGCCCTGTTAACATGACCTGCCCATGTGGGATATGAGACACCCCTGCCGGGTTGAGGCATCCACATCGCTCATGCTTCTGAACCGAAGAGTGACGGCACGAACAACGAAGACAACGCCACTGCAGGGCATCCCTCGGCTGACGATTCCAAAGGCATAACGACCACTACTCCCAATGACCGAAGCCGAAGCCTCACTTCGATTACCACCCTCATTACGAGCAAAAGCCGAGGCCTCACCTCAGTCTTGGGAGTGGGGGGCAAGTGATGTGGGTTAGCTTGGCCTAGCCCACATAGGGCTAGAAGGCCCATCCCACTAACGCCTGCTAACGTCAGCTGCAGTAGGCGAGAGCCCTGCTGCCTTCATACGGAGCTAATCACATAACTATCTGGCGTACCGCTAGGGCTTGCAGTCTGACCTCATACAGCTCTCATCTTAGGCGTTCATCTTCACTTACCACTTGCACACTCAAGTATAAATAAGAAGTAACTACCCCTTAAAAGGGGCTGGAACGGAGTAACTCCAACATCACTCACTCATTTACTTCCTGCACCTACACTATCTACCTAGCATAATTCAAGGAGATCTGGTGCATCCGAGAAGAGCACTTTTGCACTCTCCCTTACTTCACACCTCTTAGTAGCTTCGCTTAAGCTTGCTGCCCTCAGCTTCGGTCAACCTCTTCTAAGGCCTCGAGATCCTCGGTTAACGCTCGGAACTTGAATGACGAATTTTCCTTGTTGCCCTCGACCAACCCGCGCGGCAACCACACTAAATTTTTCAGCCCGAAAAAAAGACAAGTCCTTAAAATAACGAATGTCAAATGCGGCCTAAGAGAAGGTGAGAAGGTTCTAATGTGCTATTTTCGATATGAACTTTTTTCGATTCTTCAAAGCAGCTGAGAGTCCTCCAAACGGGCCCTTCCTGCCAACCGGGAATACTTGTTCTACTACTGACTTCCTCACCATGATTCAATCCGAACCGTCTATAGGGGTGACTATTACTCTATTAGGGTCGTCCACCTTCACATCAAAAGTCCCTTGGGCCTTGATCGAATTATCTATCTTTAATTCTTATCGAAAGGTCAAAAGGGAGAGCAGTGTGACTAGTGGATTAGTTCCACTTGGTTAAGAAAAGAGCCAAGTCACTACAACCAGTCTCCAACCACAACCAGCTCAGTGCTCACTCCAATTTAAAACTTCCTAAATCGCCGCGAATTCTTCTGTAACTGTAGTCCGTAGGGTATCCTGATAGTATGATAATCTAGTTTTCCTACCTGGGTTTTGGCCATTTGAGATTGGGAAATCTTCTCTCAGTGTTTCAGCGTTCCAATTCGAAGACTCCTCGAGAAGAAAAGATGGGCTGCGGGGCCTTTTGCTAAAACTTGGGGAAGACGGAGAAGGATCTCAGAATCAAAGCTTGCAGCTCGAATGGATGCTTTAGGAGGTTTTTGGTGGAACAGCCCTCTTAAAGGTCGCAAATTTCGTTCTAAGAGGGAATCTAAGAAACCATCCGAGTCGGTAGACGGAGGAGGAGGAAAAGGTTTTGATTTCCCGGTGAAGCAGGCGATGACGGCAGCTTCTCTCGCTCTGACTGGTGATACTATTGCCCAAGCCAGTGCCCGATGGAGGGCACTTGATCGAACGGCCAAATCGACCAAAAAGGTCGGTATAGTGTTATGTTACCTACATCAAAAGAGCTATAGATAAATTCCTATATATGACGATGACTGTAACGCTCCTCTTATCATTACATTGTGTTTTACTCAGGTGCTTAACCACATGTTGCAGTAATGCTCTTTAATCAGACTTATTAGAAACTGTTTACTTTGTTATTAAGCTAAACTATTCACATTCTGATTGTACTGAATGTGATGGCAACCAACTTCTTATCACTTTGTTCTTACAGTCAAGGATTTAAATTTTGCTGAAATTTATGCATTCAAGGGTCATTGATGCAAAATGATTTTGGAACATAAAATTCCTATTATTCTACATGGAATCGTGAATAAATAGGATTGAAGGAAATGAGTAATGATAAGATTTAAATGGCTGTTCATTTCGTTTTTTCTTCCCTTTTCTTTTCAGTCACAAATGTTCATTTTGTTTCCTTGCACTTTTGACCAATCACAAAATTCCACAGAAATCTTGGTAAAATATTTCATTTCAGACCATATGGAATTTGTTCCCACTGATCATTTGGATAATCTGTGGAGAGATAAATGCTTGTATTTTTGTCAACAAAGTCTGTCCCATGGATGAGCTACAAAGGAAACTCTGGGGTACCCTCCATTCATGGTTGGAAATCTACAACAGGGTCAGGGGAATTCACCACAGCTCTACTTCAATTCTGAAAGTCATTTTGCAGTTACATAATAAAAAATGCCATTACCCAATGTTAGTCCTAGTTATATGGGGTCTTGGGAGGGATAAAATGGGTGCAGTCCTAAGTCCTAACCTTTGATCCTAACTTTTGGCTATTTCTGTGACACAAAGTGATCACCTCAGACTGGAAACCATGCTCTCACTCTCTATAAAGTTGTCCAATTGATCCCCTTCTGAGGTTATAGAGGGTGAATAAGTTCCAACTAGAAATTTGCTTCTAGACCTTTTCTAGTTCATTACCTCTAACCATGCAGCCACCAAGTTAAGGAATACTTCACTTTTCCACTTAGTATCTTTTTTCCCCTTGTCTCTGTGTGGGTATAAAGCTACCTATGGCAAAGTCACTATATTTTATGTGCTCTAAGGAGAAATGATTCATCCATTCCCCTCTTTATCTTGACATATGTACAATGTGCATGAAAGAAGAACAATCCTCCATTGCACAATAAGTAGGTGTGTGTAATTTTTTTGGACACACACACAATTGCTCAATCCAGGCCCAACCAAATTGCTCACCTACTTCTGAAGACCTCATAAGGAACATTTTGGAAATTCTCTATTAGGTTGGCTTGCAGTTGGTTATTTCATGATCAATACTCAATAGCTCTGCTTTTTGGTGGGTAAGCTGGCATGAAGACAAGGATCTTTGTCCCTATATGTTAACTAATTTAGCTACTATCTCAGGCCATTTTTGCAACCATTGACATACATCCATGGCATTCCATGATGCTTATGCTGCTAAATTATCAACTTGACTTGTTATTTATTTAATGGAAAAATTCTTTATCTTTGCTTGAATACTTTGATTTAGGATGTCATTTCGTCCATCTTTTCAAGTCATGATTGGCTCCGGGCTCTTCGCATGGCTTCATATGGCTTTCTTCTATATGGTCCTGGCTCTTATGCATGGTATCAGTTTCTTGATCATTCATTGCCTAAGCAAACAGTGGAGAACTTATTATTGAAGGTATACTTATTTGAGCCTTCAACTAAACTTCTCAAACTACAAGTGTGTTGAGAATGGGGATTAGATTCTTTGAACAATTTCAAATATTTATATTTTAGCCTTTTTTTTTGCAGGTCTTGTTGAACCAAATTGTACTTGGTCCATGTGTGATTGCTGTTGTTTTTGCATGGAATAACTTGTGGCAAAATAAACTTTCAGAGCTTCCTAGAAAATACCAGAAGGATGCCCTTCCTACTTTGTTCTATGGTGAATGCCTCTAACATCAAAACCTTTATTGGACAGAGAAATTTTGCCTATGTCTCATTACCATTTGGATTGTTCCCTTTTGCTTCTTATGCAGGATTTAGGTTTTGGATTCCTGCTAGCATACTAAATTTTTGGTACATGCTTTTTCCCTTTCCTTTTTGAAGTTATGATGTTCAGTATTTCGATTGAAAATTATTATTGTAGCTTGATAAGTCTTAAAGTAATAATCTATCATTTGTTCGTCACATAAAGCCCTATTACTGCTAGAGTCACACCTGGGGTGAGAAAGGGAGGGTTCTCAAGTACCAACTGTCATATATAATATTTTAAAAAGCCTTCTAAATCCAGAATATTGCCTGGATTTTTGAAAGGCATGCAATTTGTTCTTCAAAATTAATAGCCAGTATAGTGGAATTGATAAATCTAGGCTGCAAGAGATGAGGAAAAACAGAAACTGGATTTCTTTTTTTTTTCCCCTTATTTTTGGTAGAGAAGAGACCAATTTGAAGAATTAAATGTAGATTGCCTTGTGGTTGTGACCACAGGACATGTAGATAGATGTAGTCTACCATAGCTTACTATGTAATTTCTAAAGAATTGGCACCAACAATTCAATGAGTCTTCTGCCTATTGAGAGAACTGGTTCAATTAAAGTTTGTTAGACGTGAACTTACCATAGTTGGAAACACTTTCTGCATTAGGGATAATGGCAATTACCTGTATTAATGTTATGCATATTACAAAGATCTCTTTGTGGGTCAATTAGTGAACAATTCTAAATGATCGAAAATCTTCCGCAAATTAGGCCCCATAACTTTCTGTTGCTTTCCTCTATCTACAGGTAAATTTTGAGGTTAATTAAAACCCGTTTTGCAACGTGGGAAAATTTAGTGTTTCCTTGTCTTGTCCTTTGAGAACCATTTAACTCGGATTGTCAATCCTTTAGAGTCATTTAATCACCTGAATTCACCTCAAACCATTGACCATCTTCTCAAGTTATAAGGTAAAGGAATATATATCTACCAAAAGAAAGTTATGAGGGATATACAATATAGTTTTAGGGATGAGTCTCAAAGTTGAGCCACAGGATATTGATTTGAGGTGAAGAAAGATGAGCCTCAAGGATTAAGCCTTATAAGCTTCTTCTTTTTTTTCATAAGTAATGAAGAAATTTAATTAAATTCTATCAAAAGCAACTGATACAATAAGTTTCCCATACAGAGGCGCTAGTTGCAGCCATTACAGTTTAGCCCAGAAAAAGGTGATTCCCATGCACCCCTTGCTTAGCTAGGCAGTCAGCTAACCCATTTGTTGATCTTCTTTCCCATTGAATCCTTACTGTCATGTTAGAAGTCAGCCAATTAAACCTCTTTACAGCTTCCCTATAGGCCCATACAACAGATTCCGAATTCCGTAGCCAACTAAATACCAACTTCAAGTCTCCATCAATGGGTAATCTACCAACATTCATCTCCTTAGCCAATTGTACCCCCTACTAAACAACTTGATTCTCAGCTCTGCTTGAGTCTCCCACACCTAGCAGACCCGAAAATATACCAATTATACTGCCACTTGCATCTCGGAAAACACCTATTCCTAAAGGCCCTGGGTTCCCCAAACTGCTACCATCAAAGTTGAGTTTAATGAAGCCATCTTCACAAGGAGCCCAATCTATCAATGGCTTAACCTTTATATATCGGGCTCATTGCTACTACTCCCTAATTCCTCCATAGATCATCAAAGGAGACCAGAGAGAAGATGTCTAGTGTTCTAGCCTATAGAATGGCCCTACAAACAATGCATTCCCAAATAGCCTCCTCATTCATTTCCTTATCATTAAAGATTCTAGCATTCCTTATCATCAAACAACCTTTCCCACAAGTTTGCAACAATAGGGCACGAGACTAAAAGGTGGTAACAACTCTTATTATTGACTTTACACAAGAAATACCAGCTCAGGGAAAGATAAAGGTATGGTTTTTTCTTTGTGAGTTGTCCAGGGTGTTTAATTTTCCATGAAAGGCTTCCTAGTAGAGAGCTCCAACCTTAGTAGGGATAGGCTTAACCCACACTTCTTTTGTAGGGAAAATTGGGCCAGAAGAGTCCACACACAAAGAGGAGAAAAAGGAAGCACAAGAGAAGAGGCCTTTAGGGCTTGGGGACCACACCCGATTATCAAAGGAGGAAGGAAGCAAAACATTGTATAGGTTCATGTTTAAGGACAAAGGGGGAAAATACAAAGAGGGAAAAAGGTCCTGAAGAGTAGAATTGTCAACCCATTCTTCCCAGAACAAGAGCTTGTCCCTAGTACACGCATCATACCTTATAAGTCTTAAAAATTTGTGGGAGAATACCATGTATGGCTTTCCTAGGGGAAGCCAAAGTTGCCTGTTGATAAACACCTGCATCTCAACCATTGCCTACATGGCTATGAATACTTTCAATCACCTCATGCTAGAGTCTCTCCCCCTCTCCAAAGGCCACTTCAACAACCATTTACCTAGTAGAGCTAAATTCTTCTTCCCTAGGTTCCCTAGTCCTAACCCCTTGTAGTTACCGTGGACACTTGGCGGTAGGTCGAGTCTCCGAAGGTCCCAAGAGGATGGCCGTAAAGAGAGAAGAAGGGAGAGAAGGATGGTTGCTGAGGATGGTGGGAGAAGAGCTTAGGAGAGAGACAGAGTAAGAGAGCCCCTCTAAGAAGCCCTAGGTCAAGGTTATATGATATTGTCTGACGTGGGAGAGAGTTATTCCCCTTTTTATAGAGAGGACCCCAAGGCTATAAGGAGAAGGATCTAAAAGGAGACCTTTCTTATTAGGAAAGGGGATCTTTATCTCATCTACTAAGGGAGCACCATTGGGATTTCACCACGTGTCTAGTGAGATCCTTTAAAGACAAAGTTTCCTTTCTCTTAAGGATTCTCATGTGGCATGTGTAGGCTACGTCCCCTTACATGTTTCCTAGTGGCCACGTGTTAAAGGACAAGATCTGACTGGCAATGTTATCGCAAGTCTTAGGCGACACCCATTGTTCACCATGGGTCCCAAGAGGTGTTTTATGCTCATTTCAAGTCTTGGATGACCTTCTGTGCTTATCGTTGATCCTGGGTAGCTTTTAAGCTCATCGCAATTTCTGCGATGGATATTAAGCTCATTGCAAGTCTGCGATGGTTATTATTAAGCCCATCGCAGGTTCTGGGAGATTCCATGTGTTGTTAGATTTGCGCTCGTGACCTTATTTTGATATCTACAATGTAATTGAGGTGATAAAGAACTACATGTACTTACAATTCGCCCCCTGCTTATTGATAAGAGTGTTCTTGCCGATAAGCATAAGTTATCTTTTCTTCTTAGTGAGCTTTGAGCTGCAATGGATGAATCTAGTGATTCTACAATTTTTTACTCTTAGTGCTTAATGAATCGGTTTTTCTACGATTTCTTGCTCTTGGTGCTTAGTGGAGATGGATCTAGTGGTCTTGAAATTTCTACTCTTAGTTCTTAGTCCCCTTACTTCTTGATAGAAGTCATTCTGTCAAGAAGCAAGAAAGAAATTAGATCGAGTTGCCAGCCCCACTGTTTCTTGATGGAAGGCATTCTGTCAAGAAACATTCGAGAGAGGAAAAGATCGGGCCAAGTCTGAGATCCTTGCAGATTTGGAAGGGGTTCAAAGAGCAAGGGAACTAAATATCAATTGGCTGATTTTGGAAGGTGATTCAAAGGTGGTGATTAGCTGGTTGAAGAAAGAGGACAGTGGCTTGTGGAGTTACAATAATGAAAAGAAAAAATTTTTATGGCTATGTAAGGGCATTGAGATACAATATAGCTGGGTGAAAAGGACTGCTAATTCTTTTGCAGATGGGTTGACCAAGCAAGGGGTGAATAGGGAGGCTATTTTTTGGGCTAATGTTTAATCTTCTTTCATTGTAATTTACTGATGGGGAGATAAGGCTCTTTATCTCCCCCTTATTGTACCTAAAGCTTCATAAATCTTAATAAAGTTTCTGTAATTGATAAAAAAAAAAGATCGGGCCAAGTCTGCAACCCCCCATTTGAATTCTTTTGGGGTTAGGTTAAGCATGTTTTGTCGAGAAGTGTATATAGGACCTTAGGCATATAGATATGTGTTAAATATTGTTGGAACGTCCAAATGATCGCACAACGCTGTAACAAAACATATGTTGTGATCAATGTGTTGTTGATAGAGTTGCTGGTGGGTTTCTGAAAAAATAGGAAAGGTTCAAAGACAGTTTTAAAGTACATTTTGGTAAGTGAAGTATCAGGTACGGGGAAAAATATGGCTCAAAGCCTCAAAGGTGATAGGAAGCCTCCATTTAGTGTGCAAGATTTTGGAACATGCTTGTGGTCTCTTAGACAGGCTCTAAGAGAGATTATAAGCTTAGCAAGAGAGATTGGGGTGCACTTTAATTGGGTAAGGTCAGCAAATGGAATGGCTGACACTTTAGCTAAGCAAGGAGTTACTAAGGCGGCTTTGTTTTGGGCCTGTTTGTAAGTTTTTGATTTTCTTTTTCCATCCATTTTGTGGGTGGTAAGCCTGTAATCTTTTCAATTATCTAATGAAAGTTACTGTTTCCTATAAAAAAAAAGATTTTGGAACATGCTAACGCTCTTGCGATGTGATTTGAGCATTTGTTGCGATTGCTTTGTTGCAACATACTCATTTGACCAAGTGATCCTTCCTACCCTCCCCAGGCTCCCACAAGAAGTCCCTTATGATTTTTCTATCTTCAAAACCTCCCTTTGTGGCATCCTAAAGGTTGACATATAGTATACTGGTAGGTTGGCTAAAGTAGACTTAATTAATTTAACTCTTCCCCCTAAAGAGATATAGTTTCTCTTCCATACAACCAGCCTCTTAGCACAACTCTCTATAACTGGGATGCAAAACCTACTTTCCCTTGGATTGTCTCCTAGAGGCAAACCTAAGTACTCCAAAGGCCAATCTAGAATTGGGCACCCTAGAGAATCTCCTCACTTAAATTAATTCCAGCCACTTCACTCTTCTCAAAACTGATTTTCAATTTGCAAAGAGACTCAAACAACTTCACCACCCACTTCAAGTTTCTTGCCAAATGGGGATCCCAACTCTCACAAAAAATGATGATATCATGTAGATGAGTAACCACTAATCCTGAACTTCCTATCCTCCACCCTTAAAAAAATCCATCGTATCAATCCTTGTTAGAAGCCTACTAAACACATCCACAACCAAGGTAAGCAAAAAAAGGTGAGAGTGGGTCCCCTTGTCTTAGTCCTCTACTGCCTGAGCAAAAATCCTTGACTACTCCGTTAATCACTTGGCAAGTCTTCAAGCAACCTTCAATTCATCTACACCATCTTTCCCCAAACTCATAACACCTCAAAATCTCAAGAAGGAAAGACTACTCCACCAGGTCATAAGCTTTTTCAAGATCCAGCTTACATACAAAACCTTTCTTCCTCCTTTTTAAGTCTTCCACACACTCATTGGCGATTAAAATTTGGTCGATGATTTGTTTGCCTTGAATAAGAGCCCCTTGGAACTGGCTAACCAATTAAGCCTTATAAGCTTTTTAAGACACTTCTATAGGGATGATATAGGCTGGGTGAGTGAAAAGCTGGCTAATCCAGAGGGTACCCTATCCAAAGTAGGCTTTGGATCAAGTACAAGATTCCTTCATGTGGCAAAAACATGTAGGTTGTCTAGAAAGACACCCTATTAGGAATCCCTTTTCCTATTAAAAATATTAGAATTAAAATTTTATATTATTTAATTATGTTGGTTGATAAAATATCATCATCATCAATGCCTTATACCAACTATATGGGGTTGGCTACACGAATCCTGTTTTGCCATTCCATTCTGTTTAATGCCATATCCAATGGTAAATTATTGGTGCTTAAATCATTCCTTACTACTACTCGTGTCCTTTTTGGTCTACCTCTAGACCATCTATCTCCTTCAACTTGCAACAAATCACTTCTTCTTATGGGTTCTGTTGATGGCCTTCTATGCATGTGACAAAACAATCATAGCCTTCTCTCATTTTATCACATGTTGAAGTTGCTTGTAGGTTCCTATGATTGACTTCATTTCTGATCCTATCCTTTCTAGATTTTCCACCCATCCATTTCAGCATACACATTTATGCCACCTCAGTTTTTGGAGTGTTCATTCTTGACTACCCAACACTTTGCTCCATACAGCATAGCTGGCCTTACAACTATTTAAAGAATTTTCCTTTTAATCTAAGTGGTATTCGCCTATCACATAAAACTCTTGATGCAGCCCTCCATTTTGCCCATGTTGCTATAAATCTATGGGTGACATCCTCCTCATCTCTCCCTTGTTATGAATTATCGAACCAAGGTACTGGAAAAGGTCACATTGAGTTTTCTCTTGGTCTCCTTTCCTAAGCGTACCTTGATTTGCACTATTATTGTTATTATTATTATTATTATTATTATTATTATTAAACTTACAAGTCATATATTCTGTTTTAGTCCTACTTATTTGGTTGATAAAATATCTATTTCAAAAATTTGTTCTCATAGGCAAGGGTCTCTAGCAGTTCAAGGCTTTCTTCTTTTATCTTTTGGGATGGATGAGGGTGGAAAATATGTAGAACAATTAAGCAGATCTTCATTTTCCTAAACATTTAAGTATAATACTTGTTTCTTGTGTGGGCAATGATGTACTAGCTATGTTTTATTTCCCACTGAACTTCAATAGATATATTATAGTTCTAGTTGCCTATGCACCAGACTTGCCACAACGACTGCCAGCGATGCAGATTATAAAACCCACTAAATACAGAACTGCAATGCACCTGGGAACTGCAAAGCTTCACTTGTGCTGCAACTTTTCAATAAATATTTTTTATTAGTATTCTTATCCTGGATAATGACATGGTATTTGCTGGAAATATTTGCTTATGTTGCTTCTTTTTATATTTACCTGAGCAATAGTGATATTTCACATATGTCTAACTTAGTGTCGGATGTTAATTAATCATCAGTCATTAGACCAACATTTTGAAAACATAGTTAACACTTAGATGTGGAATATCTGCAGGGTGATCCCACTTCAGGCTCGTGTTGCCTTCATGTCCACTTGCTCCATATTCTGGAACTTCTACTTGTCTTCGACCATGAGCAAGTAATGCAACGAGTTCTGTGGCAATAATATGAGACTGTTGTATGGACTTTCATTTGAATCATGGGTTTGAATGCAAGTTTTGTGTCAAGTCAATATCAAAATGGAGGAAGCAGAGGCAGTTGTATGGATTTTTCATAACAGCATTGTTTGCAAAGCATTCTTTCGCTATAATCACTGAGAGAGCTTTCATGAAACTAATGTTAACTTATAATTAGAAGCTAAATCATTTTTGCAAATTCATTGAAAAATAACTGGTATTATTTTGTCCATTTGGATCTTGAGAATGGGCTTTTACATTATGCTGAACCTACCTTCTTTTGATGCCAAAAAAATACGGAAAAGTACGAACAGGCCCAATGCAGGTTTCTGAATTCCACTGCAGATCTATAAACGTTCAAAATGTCAAAAGCCCCCATTCTATACATCAATGCCCGCCCGTGAATTGACATCAATTCCGAGCCGGCACCTACCCCAACTGTACCAGTCATTCTCCCAAAAAAATAAAATAAAATATGACATTTGTCTAATTCACGAGATGAGCTTCACGGCAAAGATTTGCCATTATATATTAAGGCAACTTAAACTTTCATTTTTCTTGTTTCCTGTTTATCCAGTTATACTCTTTCTTTTGCATGTTTCATTAATTTTATTTCATTTTATTTATTTTTAAAACTATTTAGTTGGTGCATTCTTTCGCTTATATTTTTTATTACCTTAGGGATGTTCATAACATTTGGCATATATGTACGTGTCAGTGCATATTAGGTCTAACAAGAGGATCAAAGAGGTCAAAATCCTACTTAAATGATATAAGTAGAGGCATTTATCAGGATTTTGCTTGATCATGCACGAAGTATTGTTTTCTGCCATCCAAAATAGAACTAAATAGTAATCCATAACTATTTATCTATCTATTTATATCTGTACCTATATTACTATAAAAGGTGTGAATAGCTCCTATGGTTTTTAAAATTTACTTGGACTAAAATACCCTTCATTTTGAATTCTCTATTGTAAGGACAGAAATTATAATTTGGATATTACTTTTTAGTTCATTTCATTTTCTTGTTAAGGCGCATATTAAGGCATTAACTCTCATTTTCTCTCGTTGAATCCTATATGTAAGGTATTTTTATCTATATCGTTAAATTTCACTAATTAAACCCATGAATTCTGATATTAATAATATAAAATCTATATTTTTAAAATCAAGTAAAACCTAAATCGGTTTTTCTAAGTGGAAGTAGGGGTGCCAATTGGACTGGATTTGGTCCAATATGATCCAGTCCAATGTGAGTCCATTATAAATGGACTAGGTCCAATCCAATCCAATGAATGTTTTGGACCAATTTGGATTGGTCCAATTCAATGTCTGGACCATCCGATCTGTTCAAATTCATTTTGATTTAGATTGGTTTCAACCCAAACCCGGTCCATTGACACATATATTCTTATCTTATATCAATGGACCAAATATTGGCTTAATCCAGCCCAATCCAATATAAATTTGTTACAGATGGACCAAGTCCAATCCAATCTAATAAATATTTTGGACCGGATTGATCCAATCCAATATACCTTGGGTTGTTGGTTCATCCAATCTGTCCAAATTAATTTTGGATTGGATAGGGTCCAATCCAAAACCAGTCCATTGACACCCTTAAGTGGAAGTAAGTAGGTCTATGGTTTGGGTTACATAATTGAATCAATGATGCCATAATTAAATACTAAAAATTTATAAATAGAAAAAAATACATAAATAGACAAATTTGAAAATTTTAGGCACATTTGTAATATTATATATATATATATGTCATGTTAAACAAAAAATAGGTATGATAAATAAAAAATATTTTTATTAATGATGAAAATGGGATACAAAATTTAAAACCAATCCATAAATGAAACCATTTCTCTCCATGAGTGGTATGCAAATGGTTCAACTATTTAGATCATTTGATCAATCCATGATGTCATAGTTAAATAATATTTTTTTAAATAGAAAAATATAAAAGATATAAAAATTACATTCGAATACATCTTTGAATTTTTTTTATACACATCTTTAATATTGTATATTATTTCATAATTCATATTAAAAATTATGTGTGATAAACATGAATTATTTTTATCAATGATGTAATGAAATACAAATTTTAAAACCAAATGGGTCAAACCATGTTGTTATAATTGAATAATAAAAATACAAAATACAAAAAATACAAAAAAAGTTGAAAATTTAGTAGGAAATTTGGCACATCTCTATATTATATAGTCATCATATTAAAGAAAATAAGTATATTGAATAAGAATTAATTTTATTGATGGTGGGAATGGAATAAAAATTTAAAATTGTTTTAAAAAGGAAAAATGTTTTTCATTCAAGGAATGGTTCAATAATTCAATAATCTAGGTTAACTCATAATGTCACGAAATAATAACAATGAAAAATAGATAGAAATACTAAAATCTATAAAAAAACATACAAAGTTTAAAAAATTAAGAGACATTCATGCACATTTACTAGTATACATTGTGCAATGCACATGCACATGCACATTTTACTAGATATATAAGGGGCAAACATGGCAAATGAATAGTGCTTCAACCAATTTGAAAGGAAGCTCATTAGCCCTCTTTGTTCTATTTTTAAGAGAACATTTGTTACTGCTCTAAAAACACCATTTTCATCATTTGGGGGTATTTGTAGGGACAAAGAGGAAGAGAGAAAGAAGAAGAATTTGGTCTTAGAGAGTGAGAGAGAGAGAATTTGGACTTGAGTTTTATCTGTTAGATTTCAAGTTTGAAAGCTCAACAAGGTATATGTAAGTAATTTTTGGAACTACAAGCATATATAAATGATTTCCTCAAACCTCGGGGTACAAGAAATTATCCCAAAATAATTATAATAAACCTCTAGGGAGGTTTAAGTAATTTGCGCAAAAAAGAAACCTTCAAAGACAGGCAATGAATAAATATGCTAACTCCCTCATAAGGACATTTGATGGATAAAAGAGGGAGTTATGGCTCAAAGACCACTAGCACTCTAAAAGTAGTTGGATCCACCAATGGCATAGCCCATGCCCCAAATCTTTAACCCTAGCTAATGTAGGTGCGATTCAATTCCAAATTCTCTGCTACAACCAGCAAGAGACCTTACTAATTAGTTAACTGGTACCATGTTGACATGTTGAAAAACACATGCAATGTATAACATATCTCTACTGTTATCAAATGTACCCTCAACTGATCTATTTACTCTTGATTTACTTTTCTGTTGTGAACATCTTCTTTGTCTCTGGTTCACTAAAGTTTGATTATTATTATTATTATTTTGTGGAATGATGTGGTTGCTTAATACAGTATTAGAGCATCTTCCATGGACTCAATCAAAAAATCAACATGAAAGCATCTCCAATTGTTGAATTGCATGTGGTTGATCGGAGTGGACCATTCAAAAAGATTAGATTGATCCTTGTTTTTAAAGAGAATTTCACCCCCTACCCTATTTGTCATGTATTTTATAATAAAATTTAGGGAAAAAATATTTAAACCTCCCTGAGATTACTGACAAATACTAAAATAAAACTTTAATAAAAGACATGATATTCCAAAAGCTTATGACCAATCTATCTAGTAATGCCAACCACAAGGTGTTTTCTTTAAACTTTTTTATGAGTTTATGTCTTCATTATTTATTAGTTGAGGGGATACAAGTTGTTTGGCTTTTGAATTAGGAGTGAATACTGATGAATGGTACACCAGGTACAAAAAACAGAAAGCAAAAAAGATTCCATATATGTGATGTATAATGTACTTTCTACCCGGTACAAAAAACAGAAAGCAAAAAGAAAAATTGTACTCCAAGCATTCCTAGCTCTTTCTTTTTTTCTTGTTAATGGAAGAAAAGGTGATGTAATTTTTGACTTTTGAGGGGATGGAATCATGGAACATAAACAATGACATTCTTCTGTAATCTCTGTTTGGCGCTTTCTTTTCTAATCTATTTACTAATCTATTTACTAATCTTTTAGTCATTAGAAATAAATAAACAAACTGGCTAAAGAAAAATGAAAGAAAATGCCCTAAAGAAAAAGAAAAAGAAAAAAAAATGAAGGATATTGACAAGAAAATATAATGCCCCTAATTTATACATCCAAACGATGAGAAATATTTAAATTTTAAAATTAATGCTACAATTTCTGTGAAGATGGAACACAGGTTTTATAATTAAGGCCTCATTCATTTTCTCTGCCTTTCTCAAACAAGCCCATGCACAAATTTTGGAGAACAAATAATTAATATCCCATGAACACCACCCTAGACTATGTCGTTTCTCTTCTAAGTTCCACCAAAACCTCCATCGACACTTGTCAAATATGCTTCATATAAATATATGCTCAAAATGAACATGTTAGACAACACTAAAAGAAAGACTATAGTCACTTAATTAAGGACATAGCTGATTGCCCAGTTGTTGAACTTGTCAAGCTTTAAAGATAAATAAGAATTGAAAATAATAAAATATGTAAATAACCACATTATTAATTAACAAAATATATATATATATATATACTAACAAGACTTATATAATTTTGAAGACCAGAATGGGAACTATATTTGATAAAAAGTACAATAGTTAAATGGAAAAGTAACTCTATGTTGTTGACAAGAGAATCAATTATTCGGCAAGGTTATGTTATAAATCACAAACATCTTGGACATGGATTTGATGAAGGGGAGCGCTCAAACCTTCCTTTCTTAATGTGCATATTTCCACTTTAAAAGTTCTTTTTCTTAATGATATTCTCTAATTAGAAGATACAGCCTACCCACATGCTGGGCTGTGGGCTGTGAGCTGTTTCTGGGAGCCTGATGTAAAATAGTATTTACACCCAATACTTTTTTTGATTGAAAAGACAAATGAGGACCCAAATTAGCTATTATGGTGTCATGCCGAGAGGTTCCCAAAACAGCTTGGGCTGTTTTTTTTTCCAACTAGGGCTGGGTATTGGCAATATTTGACAGCTTCTTTCAATGATGATGAGGTGGTCAAAGGTCATATTCAAGTGGGGATGAATTGATACCAAATCACGGTAAAATTCAGAATTGTGCAGTGAGATGCATAGTGTTTTTTTCTTAAACCAGCTATCTCACACTAACACTAGTAATTGAAGAGAGGGCCGTGTGTTTCCGCCGTAAAGGTCATATTCAAGGAAGGTCATACTGTAGCTCATCATGGAAAGCCTGCTTCATTCGCTTGACAACTAGTATTAAAAAGGAACACTAGATCTCTTTCTTGCAAGTACACCCCTCCCTTTTATTCCATTCATGTTTTCTTTCATTATCATGGCAAACAAGAATACATTCCCTTTAGATACTTACTGGAAACAGAGAAAAAGAAGTTGGTATTGAGCCACGTCCATCAATATCACCCAAATGCAGAACAAAGTTTGGCTATAATTAACAGACCAGAGCCCCACCCATCTCCATCCCTCAAAACTTCTCGAGGTGTTAAGGAATATTGAAATTCGATCTTCAATCATCTGATCGGAGGAGGAGGAGACATCATGAACAGCAGGCATCTGGGAAGTGATTATGGCAACTATTCTCCTTTTGATCATCACTGGTTCTGGACAAGCTCAATTCGCCGAACCATTGAATTCAACGTCGCTAGCGCTGCAGTAAGTATTATTTTGCCGGCTCCCATTCATGCCGCATGACCTACTTGAAGGTTTAATTAGCATTATTATTCTTGTTGTCAACTTTTTCATCAATCTGTGACACCATTGTGTTGACATACAATTAATTAACCACTTGTGCTTAGTTTCATCCAGTTACGTCATTAATGCCCTACCTTGATGAAAGATTTAAACATTTACAATGCTAGCTTGGGGTTAGGGATGAACCAATAAGCGATCTTTGAATTAATTACAAGATACACATTGAATTATATTGTATGGTAATGGTAGGAAATATATATCAAACATCTGGTATCCATCAAGGCAGCTGGTTAAATATAATATAATGCAGATTAAAAGGAACAATATTGTATACAACAAAGAATGAATAATCAGAAACCCAGCGATGAGGGCGTCTGGAAAGGAAGGATTCTTACTTATTTTGAGGTGTACATCTTATTATCTGGCCAGCAGGAAGAAAGTAGAGGAGAACTGGGTCAGTGGCCGTCTGATCAGGAGAGGTTGAGAATCAGACATCGTTTTATAGGGTAATAACTTTGCTTCATCATCTCATCCATTATTTGGTTTAACCATTTGATGATCGATCTTTGGCTTTTGCATGTCAGATATCATCCGAGGCAATCCCTTTCCCCGATACCAATTGATCTTCTTCTCAGTAATGAGATGGCGCAAGGGGTGAACGCTCAGCTCGTTCCACAGTCCCAGCGGATGAGGATCATGGACGAGCGGAGCCTGCAAACCCCTCCACAAGAGTACTCCAGACTGACCCAAGAAGAGAAAAAGAAGGTTGTAGAGAAGCTGAGAAAGGAGGTTTACAATCCACCCAGGAAAACAAAACCACAGCTTTACTACAGAAACAAGAGTAGCATCAGCACCGAGCTCGAGGAAGAAGACGGCGAAGCCAAGGGTTGTTCAATTTGCTTAGAAGACTTTGTTCTCCATGAGCAAGTCCTGATCACTCCATGCAATCACATGTTCCATGGAGACTGCATCCTTCCATGGGTGAAGAGCCAAGGTCAGTGTCCTGTGTGTAGATTCATGCTCTATGAACCAAGGAGGAGTACTGCATTGCCCATTATAAACAGCAGAAATATTGAAATTCCGGCGCCGGCCACCAATGATCCCATTGGAGCTAATCAATTGTTTGCACTGATAAGGACCATGGAAGAGGCCTTGGACTGGCCACTGGGTGGGCACCCTCACTGATATAAACATGCAGATCACTGAAGGAGACGATGATATTCCCTGAACATATTCAGGTAACGTAGACTGCACTGCACCAGGCGGTCCAGGCCTGGGCTACTTCTTTTGGTTCATGCGGTAAACCTGGATTTACCGTGGCCCATCTCAATCCCAGCCTATGTGTAAGGGTTTCAATGGACCGGTTTTGGATTGGACCCCGTCTAGTCCAAAATCAATTTGGATGGATTAATTGGATGGACCAATAAGACATAATGGATTGGACCAATCCGGTCCAAAATATTTATTAGATTGGTTTGGACCTGGTCCGTCCGTAATAAATTTATATTGAATAGGGTGGAATTAAGCCAAGATCTGATCCATTGATATAAGATAAGAATATATGTGTCAATGGATCAGATTTGGGTCGAAACCAATCTAAATCAAAATAAATTTGAACAGATTGGACAGTTCAAACATTAAATTGGACTGGTCCAAATTGGTTCAAAACATTCATTGGATTGGATTGAACCTGGTCCATTTATAATGGACTCACATTGGACTGGATCGGATTGAACCAAATCCAGTCCATTTATAATGGCCCAGTTTGTTTGCAATTTGCAAAGCACATTCATTTGCATTGATGCAAAAAAATAGGAGTACAAATGGGTGGTATGCAAATTCTAATTTATTTTTTTGCAGTATAAATGAAGTAAAATAAAGGGTTCTTTTTTTCACTTTTTGCAGTATAAAAGTTCTGAGGGGAGCAAGCCATAAATTTCCCTAAAATAAAAACCCAACCAAGTTTAAGTAAATCGGAATTTACATTCTTAATTTGTACTGATGCAAATGAAATTGCATTGCAAACAAATTGTTTGTCCTTTAAAAACATGTTCGTTCGGGTCATTTGGAGGGAGTTCCCACTCGAGTTTCCATGAGTTGAGTGAGTTGGAGACTGATTTACAAGTTCCATAACTAGAAACTGTATCAGGTACCTTCTGGCTCTGCCATCTGCCTCTCCAACCAGTTGGCTGTTGGGGGGAGGAGTCTCATAACAGAGAAAAACCAGAACTAGGGTTCAGAAAGCACAACCAAGAGATAAGGACTTGCTCCCTGGGGGAGTAATGGAAAAGGTCTCTGCGGCTTGCGCCATGGAATGGAGTATTGAGCTCGAGAAAGGGCTCCGGTCGAATAAACCCGGTCAGCAATCTCATAATCTCTCGTTCTTCATGCTTTGTTGCGATTGTTGCTTTTATTTCAATAAATCACTGTCAATATCAATTTCAAAATTTAGTTTCGATTTATTTGTAACTTTGCGCATATTACTTATACATTTCTGCTTGGAATGATCCTCTGAGAAGTGCTTCGGTAGGATTAAATTGGTTTGCTTATGGGGTTGATTGTCTTGGCTCTTCTGGTTTTGTATGTGGTTTGGACCTTAATTCATGAACGGCGTTTGGCCTCCCATTTTTCCAAGGTTGTTAACTAGTGACTTTTTTGCTTATTATTAAGAGACTAAAATTTCCCCTGGTCGAATCTCAGTGAAAATTCTCACAATGCACATTCGCAGTCTTACATCATAAAAAACTATGATATTGGCTGGACCCAGATGTTAAAATGGAAGTTAATGTGGGAATTTCAAATAGACTACCTCCCTTAAGGATTTCAAAAAGGCAATTCCTTTCTCTAAGGGTATCAAATCCACTAAAATATGTGGAATTCATCCCTCTATAATCTACACATTTCTGGATTCTGCACCTCATTAACAAGCATAGAAATGGAAATGAATTTTATCAGAGTTAAATGGATCAAAATATCAATACACCCGAATACCCAACATATCATATCACCGATACTCGATATTTTTATCTTTTTACTTTTTTTTTATTTTATAAGCATTAAAGGGATATCAATCATCATCCCAAAGTTTTAAAACTTGTAATGCTTATTTATATTAGTATATCCATGCGTATCTGGGTGTATCGTATCGATATTTTGATCCTTGGGTTTAATTTCGTTTCAACCCTCAAATTCTTTCTGATCCAAATGCAGAATATGAATTTAGAACAGCATAAATTTTGTGAGTTGTTAGTAAGTGAGGTGAATTTCAGGGCCCGCACCTCACCTAGGCCTAGGCACTGCCCCTTTAAAAAGGTGTGTGCCTGGTGCACCTGAATTAAGTTTTGTGCTTTTTGTGTTTTTTCAGGCATGGTGGATGGGCTGAGGCTCTGCCCTCAGACCCCCGACCAAGTCCCTTGAGGCAAGCCCAAACAAATCCATGTTAAGGTCTTAAATTCTTAACCCATACACAAAAATGCTTTTATAATTTTAATTATAGTTACTTATCTCTTAAAAATTGATTTATATTAAGAAGAATAAGGCAACAATATTAGCAAAAGGGGGGTTCTACTTGTTTCTAGCTTGCCTTATGGGGCTCAGTACAAAGTGCTCATGGAATTGGAGGAATGCAATTAGGAAAAATAAATAAATAAAGATATTGAAAGTTTTGCATGCTTAGCTGCTTACATTGTTGAGTTCTTGAATATGTTTTATGTGTTATGTTTAATTTTTTACATTTTCACTTTGAATATGTTTTACATGTTATGTTTATGTATTTTAAGGAAATAGGCAGTTTAAAAGGTTTAGCTTTAAATTTAAGTGTGCATTTTTAACTATTTTTTCAATTTTCTGATTTTTATTTTATTTTATTTTATTTTTTGAAAATTTTGAAAAAAAATTGTGCCTCGAGTACAAAAAGGCCCTTACGCTTTTAATACACTGTATTGTGCCTTCTGGGATCTTCAAAATGATCAAACTGCACCTAGGATATTCCTCCTCTGAACTCACATTCTATTAGAACTTAGAAGGGCCTGAACATCTGATATGTGGACCTTTCTCTAGAATATGTATTGAAGTCTTTTCCTTTGTCAACTAAATAATAAGTTGATCTTATTGATAACTCTATGTTTCATCTCTTTCATGGGAAACATTTTAATGAAGCTTCTTGTTTCTGTGTATGTTCATGAGCCAAATTTTAATCAGCATTTTTCTCTGCTGGTGTCATGGTTATCCATTGATACAAATTCCAGCTTCATTTTCTTCTCTTCGTTAGAGTTTCCTCTGATTATTTATGCCAAGTATCTACAGTTTGTTTTTCTAACATTATGCTTTATGTTTGGTAAATGTGAACTTTGACCATTTGATCTTGCCAATTGTTTTTTCCCTCTTTCTTCATGGCATTCCAGGTCAGCCTATTGAATTTATATTACAGATTGGGCCTAGACTTTCAAGATGGAGTAGGGAGCCTGAACCATCTGGGGTGGTACTAAACATGCTTGGTTTAGTTCCAGGGGAGGATAGGCTATTCTTGAACACTATTCTCCTTCGCCTTGCAGAGACATTTAGGTCTGGAGACAAGCATACTAGGCTCTCTGTTCTAAAGGTCTTTCTCTTAGAGATGAGGCACCGTAAAAAGAAAGGTAGACAATATAACGGGATTCTGGCAAGGCACAGAGTACATAACCACACAGAACTGCTTAAAAGAGTAAAGATAGTTTTTGATACTGGTGATGTTGAATCAAGAGCATTGGCATTATATCTCCTTGGTTGTTGGGCCGACCTTGGGAAGGATAGTGCTGAAATACGCTATATGATACTGTCAAGCATGGGGTCATGCCATGATTTGGAGGTGAAATTTCTTTCTACCATTAATTATGTGCTCTTACATATATTCTGAGGATATGTAAATTGTGAAGTAATCATTGAGTATATATACCAACAAATCACCCAAAGTGGTTGATTGTGTTAAATGATCAGAAGGAATGGTGTGGAATTCAACAGAAGCAAATGTTTTACATTTTATCAGGTTAAGCAAGACAATTGGAATTCTTTCTTTTGTACTCTTATCCTCTTTTGACTTATTAAAATTTCTCAGGTAAGTTACCAATCAAAAATGAATGGGTAATCCACAAGATTGTTTTTATTGCATGGAGGGTTAGCATTGACCTTAATTGTCAAAGTTAAACAGAATTCCAATTGTCTTGCTTAACCCCCCCCCCCCCACAAAATAAAAATAAAAATAAAAAAAGGAAAGATAAAAAGAAAAGCAACACCCAACACTTTCTTGTGTTGTTATGCTTTTGGTAGCCTACCTTATATATATCATCTAACAAATAGTTTATCCTGTTGCATGTATGTCATGAATCTACAGCTATGGTTTTGTTTAGATCACCATGCCTTACTGGTTACCCAATGAATTAATTTATATTTTTTCATCTATATCATGAATTTTGCAATTTGAAAATTACACTCTCCTATAATCAACTTACCTTTTCTTTTTTTTTTTTTTTCTTTTTTATCTCCGTGTTTCTTTTCCTCCTTTCTCCTCATCATCAAAGTGGATGTTATGTAGACTAAGATGACTTAGAGCTGCACTAGAATCTTTTGTCGGAATTTTGCAGGTAAAAGCATCATTATTTGCTGCAGGTTGCTTCTCTGAGTTATCAGAAGACTTTGCAACTGTTGTTTTGGAGATACTGATTAATATGGTGTCCTTATCGAAAACATCCTCTGATCTAAGGCTTAGAGGGGCACGTGCCTTTGCTAAAATGGGATACTCTTCTTTACTTGCCTGTAGAGCTTATAAGGTACTGCATTCCTTCTGCTTCCATGTCATATCTAATTAATATATGACCACTTATGTATCTATTATGTGTGCTATTTCACCAAGTTGTTATGACAAGATAAAGGAAAGTGCATATGTGAAAGACAATAGAGCAATGCTTGCGTCATGTGCCTCGTCCTTCATTGAGACCTCAAATCATAATAGAACAAGTTGTAAACGAGGGTTTGTGAAATACAGGAGTTATTGGGAGGTTATGTCTTGCCCTTTTTTGATTTGAGAGACCCATGACAGACAAGTCCATGAAGTTGGCAACCACCAATACAATATTTTTTGTATTGGAGGTGAAGCAGTGGGATTATGCTAACTAGTGAAAGTTTCAGATCAAGTTGAAAAGCTACCTCCCAAGTGATCCTTCTTTTTTTCTTATCTTTTTGTCCATACAAATGTGTTTTCTACTTCGAAGACTGAATGAAACAGAAATTTAGCAAATTTCCAATAAAAAGGATTGAGCTAGCTAATGGAATTTTCACATTAAGTAGCCAGACCATCTGCCCAGTTTTTTTAATTTTCTTTTCCCCAGAGCTTTGTTTACTTCTGATTTGAGATCAAAGATCAAATTTTTGATGATTTTATGCCCCTCTACCAGTAGACCTTATGACCATAACCAATATTTGTTAAATCCCTGTGTTCTAAATCCAGACAGAGTGAGGCTGCACCTTGTGCCTCATATTGGGATGCTTGTAACGAACTATTTATCATTTGCTTCTAATGAAATCAATTGAATTTTATCTATCAAAAAAAAAAATCCAGACAGATTTGTCCTTGTAGATACATCCTATCACAAACAGCTGTAGCCTCCAGAACTCTGGAATTGAATTTGAGGTCACAGTATAGCAATTTAAATGACAAATTTATATTTAAAATATGTTTTCCAATACCGGTATTCTATTACTTGCATTTGAAGCAGATATGTTGTTGGAGGAAATTAGTTTTAAACAGCTGACCTCCTCCTACTGCCAATACCCACTTTGATCAGAACTTTTTCTTTTTTTATGAACAAGTAGTTGCTGTAATATGATTCTAAGAGCTGCTGCAGAGGGAGGTTTTCCTTCCACGGTGACAAATTTAGACATTGTTCATTCAACCTAAGGTGGCATTCATAACTGCTGAAATAGGCACTGAAAGCAGAATGTCGAAAAGCTTTCAAATTTAAAATTGCCCCATTCAACATTTCATTAACTTGTTACCCACTTACTGTTGAATGATGAAGCGTGGACATTGGGGTGATTATTTACCCCTAAAAATATTACCATATTACCAATAATACACTGGATTTAAGCTATTCTTGAGTTTGGAATCTTTCCCACATTCTGCTTTTGGCATCGATTTCAACAGTATTCAAACACCACTTGATTTTGGAAAGAGTTGTCACCCTTCATTATTTTTCCATGCTATATTTGTTTGTGTGTATGTGTGTGTGGTTCATGATATGATGTTGCAGACAGGTCGAAAGATGGTGCTGGACTCTTCAGATGAAGATTTCATAGTTGTGATGCTAATGTCACTCTCAAAGCTTGCTTCTTACTCAGGAGTGTTGATTTCTGAGCAGGTAGTCATTTTGGTTGTTGAGATCAAATTGCTATTTTTGGCTAATGAATAGCATTAAATTTTCATTAATAGAGTAATGGACAAAAAGAAGATTTACAGTGTGTATAAAGATAAAAAAGGGAGGAATTACAAAAAGAAACCAACAAGTAATCTTTACAATCTGGTGAAAAATCAGCTCTGGTGTCTTATTCCTTTGGCATCCATCTAAGAGAAGCTTGAACCTCTCTAACCAAAAACGAAATTCTTATTTCCCTGATTCAGAAGGCCATTTTCCATGTGCTCGAAGCTTCACCATGTTCTGTTTAATGCTGTTGCTCAAGACACCAAAACCATTTGCCTTGGGTTCTAGACTCCAGACAGAAGACCATGGTTCTGTCTCATTGCTGTTCACCTTTTCCATCTGTCCATAGAAACCAAACTCACAGACCCTTTCTGCCAAATCAGCATCCTTATTTATAAACATTATGAAGAAAATGCAAATAGTACAAAAAATATAGGGGAGTAGAAGACGTGTAGTCAAGGCACTGGGTGTTGTCTATGCAATTAAACCCTTTATACCAAATTGGTTCCCAGATGATTAGGTGAGTTAAACATCATAATTTTCAAGGCGTCTAGGCGATACAAATTTTATAACATAAAAAACTAACTTTTGGCTAGTTTCCTACATTTATATACCATTCAGCATGTATATTAATTGAAAAAATAGAAATTCTTTGTTAAGAACATTAAATTTCCTCTAAAAATGTGGCAAATCATCACATCTAAAAGATAAAAATCTTTTACATATATTAATTTCATTATTTTCAAAAATAATACTACTGTAATGAATTTAATAAAGCAATTTCATATCAATTAGCAGCTAAAGAAGGTTATTAACTTTATATGATAAATATTCAAGATGGAAAGTAAAATAGAAAAAAAAACAATGGTGGAGTTTCTGTTGTATTTAAATAGAGAGAGAGAAAGAGTAGAAAAAAAAGAACTTTATTATTCTATTCTTTCTTTCCTCTTTCTTTTCTTTCTTTCTTTTTTTCTTTTTCTCTCCTTAAAACCCTTTGATCTTTTAAATTTCAATAGTAAAACATTAAAACAAAGTATAATCAATATATATATATATATATATATATATATATATATTATATAATAAAATGTATTAACACATACATTAATAAGAAACAGCAATATAAATGATAATATGAAAGGCACCCGCCTTGTCATTTTTGTTGCCTAGGCGGGCGCCTAGTTGCTAAAAGTCAAGGCGTTTGGATCTGTTTCTTAAATCATCGTGGTGCATCCACAATTAATATTCACATTTTTTTTTTTTATTTTGGATCTGTTTTTGAGATTTTAAATATAATTTGTATGATATTTAACTTCTGGTGTCTGGAGTTCCATTTTTAATTCCATCTGATTGTTCTTTTAACTCTGCTGTCTTATTTATTCCTTTTATTTCTGATTTATGACTTTGGGATAACACCTAATTATTACATGCGTTATTTAGTGTTCCACCTCATCTCCTTTTTTTGGAACAAATATATGGTTTCATCTCCTAGGTTGCTTAAATGTGCCCATGACCGCCTTGTCTACACTATTTGTAACAATGCTTGTTCAGACTTTATTCTGATATATTTTTTTCGTGTTGCTTCTGAGTATAGGTGGACTTGCTTGTGTCATTTCTTGCCCAGAAATCTTGTTTGAATGTGCAAGTCATGGCACTGAGATGTCTTTGTTTTCTCTGCATGAGTGGGGTTTGTCGGCTTCCAATCAGTGGAAGTCTACTCGAAGCTTTGTTCCATTTAGTAGATAAGCCTGACATTCCCCTTGATCTGCAATGTAAAGTCCTACGGATATTACATAAGGTCATTTTTGTGCAACCAATTACTCTAATCTCTGATTAGTTTTAATTAAACAGCTATTCACTGAATTATTGGGGAACCTGCAGATCTTCTGTTCCCTGCCGAATCTGTCTTTTGTGGGCATGGTGGAACTTGGGAAGCTTCTACAGATTGTTGAGAATGCAGCTAAATCTCCAGCCAAATCAAAGATATTCTTGTCCCTCTATCTTCTTGTTGATATATCATCCAAACTTAGGGGGAGAATTGAAATAGCATCTGATGATGATTATTCCACATATTTTCCATCCCAGGTTATCTCATTAGTTATTGATCAGATTACCTTACTTCTGAAGAAGCATTGTTGGGCTGAAAATGAATTGTGGAAAGAATGCCAACACCTACTCTATTTAACTCTTTCTCTTGTTAAAGAGTATTCAACATTGGGAGCTTTTGTTCTGGACAAGATAAGAGTCTCAGTGGAGTCTCTGTTGAACATGCAAGAAGGGTGCATACACCCAAGGAGACCAAATTCTTCTGCCAATGAGTCTTTTGAGTTTGAAGGCAAAAAACGTATGTCCAATGTATCAAAGCTTGTCATATGCCTCTACAGGTTTGCAGAGGGTTGTGTTGAAACACTTAATCAAACCAGTGCTGTCACTACCCAGGTACTTCACAATGTGAAGCTTCTGGTTATATGCATACAACAAAGCAGTTTATTTGATCCCAATACATTCTCAGTTCATTCACTTTGTTTGCATTATCAAATCATGCAAAGTTGCTTGACAAATGAGGCCAGTGGGACCTCCAACTTTTACAAAGACTTGTATACATGTCAAGATGATTATTGGGTTGAACATGAAAAGCTGACTCTTGAGTTTGCAAAGAAGATGATGGAAATGAATTATACCTGGTCTGCCTACAAACTTGGACAATATGCAGCATGTCAAGGAGTATGGTTTGCTGCTACATTTATATTTAATAAACTAACAAATAAGGTTCAAACAGATTCCAATTTTTACTGGTTGAAATCTTTGGTTTTATTTTCCAGTGCTGAAAGCAACATACTTTTGTTTCTTTTTCCAAAACAAGGTCAAGAATTAGTAAATGGATTTGAGATACATGAATTTGGGGTTGGTGAAGTTGGTGAAGGTATTACCAGCAGCTTGCAGGACTATGGTGATAACCTATCTAAGGCTTGTAGTAATATTTGCTTTTCAGAGGAACTTTTGTCTGGTAATGTCATACTGGGTCGAGCCTTCTATTTTCAAAGATGGTTTTTGTCTCTAAGAGCTAAGGTTCTTCAAACCATTGTAGATTTGTTCAGACTCTTGAGTGCTAATGCTAGCCAGGGACACATTGGCAGTAATCAGCAGGCTGAGGGAAGTACTGAGATTATTTCCCCAGGACACGCAGAGCATATCCACTCATTCATGTACTTTGTCACTAGTATTTCTTTCCGTTTGAAGAAGTTAGCACAAGAATTTGATCTTCTTGCCATATCATTCATGGACTTGGATGCTGATAGTTTTAGAACTATTTCTGTGCTTGCACTTAACTGTTCGCTATTGGCCTTTTGTACTGGCTTTATTCCAGCTTTGCCTGGTTATCAGAATTCTACTACTTATGTCTCAAACTCAGAGAAGTTTTCACATTCTTTTCTAATACAAGATTTAGCTGAGCGATTGTGGCATATTGACAATGAGACCATTTCAAACCTGAAGCTGCTTCTGAAAATTACAGGAGAGCCTGAAAAATGTTCCCACTTGCAGTCTAGAACCCAGTTATTGAGGGTTGGCCATCATGAAAGAAATACTCTAAGGGTTTGTAGGTCTGCTGTTTCAGCTGCTCTCCAGCTTGAAGAAAGAACTAAGAGAATGGATAATGAAGGTGGTCTTTTCCAACTTTCGAGAGGCTATTTGAAATTTCTGTCTAACATACTCAAGGAATGGATATGCATTCCTTTTTGGATTCCCAGATTCTTTTTTCAAGTAAGGTACGATGTTGCCGATGTGCATAAAATTAAGCTTCTTGCATTACAATTATTCTTGTAGTTTCACAATTAGACGTTATTGATCTGGAAGTGTTAAACAGAATTAGGTTATTAGATGCCTGGTAAGGTTTATCGGTGCAGTTAAAATGTAAAAGGGCTAAGAACTCATACAGTATAATGTTTATTATAATGGTTTTTGAGGGGATTTATAAATTCCTCTTTGAGGTGATTTGCTGGATTTTGTTGTGACAAATTCACATCTTTTTTTTTTTTTTTTTTATCTTTTCTCCTTCAGAGGGAGGGTGGGGATGGGGGATGTTGGGGAGAAGAAACTAACCAGATTCTTGATCAAACCTTGGTGGGATTAGTCAACGCAAACCACAGAAAGCTAAACAGGCTTGGTTTGTTCTTTCTCTAAGCCTGTCGATGGGTTGGTCAAGTCTGGGCTGGATTAGTGTAGACCTGGTCCTGAACCGTAATAAAAGAGACTACTCCTGATCCTGACACCGTGGGGTCTGTAAGTAACAGACCCAGAAATTATTATTAATGAAGATTATCAGGTCTGACCTAATAAGACCTTATTATAACTGACTGACATCTTGCCTGGTAATCTGACAATATATCTGTTATTCTTTTGTTCTCTCTTCTCAAAATTCTATAAAATTACAATTTTAGACATCTTATATGAAGCTTTTAAAGGTAAACCATATAATATGCTTTGGGTCTTAGGGTATGTTTGGTACCATGGTGTGTTTAGTGTCAAGTTTTGTACTTGAAATATTCCATTGGAAATTGGGAAAGTAAAATATTTTGGCACACTATACAATGTATAATAATTTATTGTGATTTTAGACATACAGGTGCCACTAGACACCATGTAAAACACTAAAGTAGAAACACCCCCTGTTGGAGGAAACACCCCAGGCACATAACCCTATGCAACAAATGGTATAAATGTTGGAACTTAAATATACCCAACAAAATACAAATTTTGTACCATAAAGGCAAAATACCTATATGATAGAAACTGGTAGAAACTGTTGAGACTCAACACACTACAGCACCATAAACAACTTTAATCAGGTAGAAACTGGTAAAGTGTAACCTAATCTATTAATAATCAGGACTGAAAATGCAGACTCAGATTCTGTGTAGTAGGGTATGATCAATTTGGGTCTTGCAGGTCAACCCATACCATTTGACAGACTTATTTTGGTGGTATTATGCATAGATTTTAAATAAGGTTGGAGCTAGCCAACTGCAAACCAGAAGAAAACTACTGTATTTGGGACAAGGGTCAGTGGCTTGGTGTTACTAGTCTAACTCGTTAACCATGTTTAGTAACTTGTAATTTCAGGGCATGCCCCTTATTTTGACATATTTATAGAACATCTTACTCAACTATTTGGGGTTGGCTACATGAATCCTGCCATACCATTGTCTTCTAACAAGAGCCATGGTAGGTAACCCTTTTTAAAGATGGTGGAATTAGACTGAAAAATGACTGTTGTGTACTTGTATTTTCCTCCCACTCAAGATCAGGCATGATTGTTCTATTATTCTCAAGGTTCTAAGCATTCTTATTTCCATTGTAGTGTAACAGAATTTCATGAAAAGCATTCTGATGTTTTGAAATCTATGCTCTTCAGGCCTTGCATTGGAGCAGAGCTCTTTGCTTCCCGTGCCAATAACAGAAACCCAGGTGGATTATCCATCTTTCAGGGTTTCCATCTCTCACTAAACCTCTGTCTCCAGTTGAAAGATGCACACCATGTCCCTTCTTTCCAGCTTTCTAAGTTGTACTGCATTCTTTCCTGTAGGATATCTGATTTCGTACCTATACAAGGTGAAGTCAAGGGACAAACTCAGTTGAGTTTTCGAGCTTGGGAAACAGAAGAAATGGTGAGTTTGAATGAACAGCTCCTGCAATATGTCAGGGAAGATATGAATAGGACAGGCAGAAGGCATGAGAGGGAAAGCAAAAATTGTGATGGGTCTGTTAGTGCTTGTGTTTGTTTAGAATTCAATGAGAGAGGGCAAGGGTTCTCAACCTGCATGCTTAATGTTTCTGCTTTTCCAGTGGGTTCTTACAAGATCAAGTGGCATGGGTGCTGTATTGACAGTCATGGTTCGTACTGGAGTTTACTCCCTTTGAATACTGGTCCTATGTTTACCGTGAATAAGCCTTCTCTTACTGGTTGATCATTTGCTGAAACTATATGGAGTGTTTAATTACATGGACAGGTGGAGATTAATTAGAAACTTTTACTCTTGAACAATAACAGTAATGTGGCCTTGCAAGTCATATTCAAGAAACCTAATTTTTGAAGTAAAGCATTCCATTGTGTGAAAAGAAGGAAATTTGCACTTGTTGGGATTGTTAAGATTAGAACGGGCAGTTTCAAGTTGTGGATATGTTTTTCAATGGAAGTCGCTTAGGCTTATATTGACAGGGTTGCTGTTTTCAGAAGTTCACATCCATGCTGTCATCTAGGAAGTGCGGGAGGAAAGAAACAGATGTAATTTTTTATGGAGAAAAGCTGGCTACTTTGAAGCCTTGATAGGCAGGTTCTCCTTGTAAAATCGTAGCCTAAAAAACTGTTGCATTCCAAGAAGCTTCAATCCTATCTTGGTTGACTTCCTATTGAAAGTCTTCCTCATTCACTGAGAGGATGAAGTTATAATTTAATTGAAATTCTATTCTGGTCCATCCGGTATTGGTGAAGCTTCAATTGGGGTGTAGGCATCTTCTGGGCTTTTAGTGAACCAGTCAGGCATTCAAATTCTACCAAGGCAGAGGTGGTGGCTTTGCTTACACTTTCAAGATTATTAGCCTTGAGATTTTGGCCCTGCCTCTTCAGCAATTGAAATATGTTTAGAAAATGCCATTTGATGGACTGGAAGGATCTATTAGGATCTTAGAGGCTACCAAGCTGTTGTAATGAATTTAGGTAATCTTTCTATCTTTCATTGTTCATATTTTCTGGATGAAAACACAAAACGGTATTCTCATGTACCAGTGAGGTTAGGGTGCTGGTTGGGTATGGGAGCACTTTGCCTGCCGGTGTTCTTAATTGGGGTAGTGCTGCATTGTGAGTTTTGCATAGGATTCACATGACTCATTACTCTTTATAATCTATTTTTTTAGCATTCTCCAAAAAAAAAGAATATAGTTGAGATGTAATTAATAAAATTAATCTTAATTAAATCAGCTTAATCTCCCAGTTTGGGCAACTCTTCTGCTTCTCCTCCATTAAATACGTCAGGCATTTTAAAAAACCTTGGTTTATGTTTCTTGTATTGTTTTACTTTTGATGCTTTTATTGATATGTTGGATATTTACAAGTTTTTATCATAATTTCAATTTAGAGCTGTAAATTAGGAAATGTTGTTTTTCTTATTTTTCTATTGGTAACTAATTTGTTCAAATGCGGGCAAGGAGAACAATTACAAAACCCTCTCAGAGATGAAATGGGCAAGGTGAAGGGAGTATACAGTAACACAAAAAAAAAAGAGTACATAACAGAGAAAAGTTATCAAATATAATTCAATTTATCTTACTGCATAGAGTAATATGCCTAGTCTCTGTCTCCCTGGGAAAAGTTCCCCTCCTATTCACTGTCTCTCTCACTCCCCATCCCGGGATCTTCTCGGCTCAGAACCTCAGACAATTTGCAGCAACCCTCTGGCCAAATCATGGACCAACATGGTGGTTATGAGACATAGATGCCTCCTACGGTTCAATGTCCAAGTCCAGCTGGCATTTTTTTGGGGGGAGGTTGGTGGGGTTGTTCCTCAAGCCTGATGATGATGTCTTTGGGCCTTCAGTAGTTCCATTAGAGAAAGACAAGGACTCATTGGAACCCGAGGTCAGAACCCCCTCATTGTTAGACAGACCCAAATCTCTTAGCTGGTGAAAGGACTCAGCTAACGTCATAAAATGAAGCCAGAATGGGGGTAATAGATACCCTGGCAGCAAAGCGATATGGTTAATTGTCTTGCTAAATCTGGGACAGATGGGACCTTTTTTTTACAGAGGCAGCTCTTTGCTTGGATGGATTTTTCCTAGAGGAGAGCTGCTCTTAATGGGCTCTAGTGCATTAATGTATATATTTTCATGTACAAGAGGAATGCTAGCAAACGACGACTGCCCTACTCCCTACTGAGAAGATAGGACCACTGATGAAAAGACATGTCCAACTTTGGCTTGTAGTGTATATTTTTATGGCGTTGTGGATTCGATTGGCCCATGAAGTCCATTAAACTCATTGTTTAATAGCATTCTTCACGGTATAAAGAAAACTTCTCTCTAAAACTTTCTATGGGCCAATGGAATCCGCAATCCCCTCTGCAGGAATTGCCCTGAGATTGATATAAGAAAGCCATGGATAAGTAGAATGAGCAAACTTACAGGCTACAGCCTACCCAATAGACACCAGTTCTGAAATCAGAGCAGAAACGATTAGGGAAAAACTGAGAAGTTACTTTAGCAAGATGTACAGTATAGATTTTGTACCAAGTGAAGCATATAAAAATCCATCCTATAATAATAAATGGTGGTAAGATTATATTTATTTTGGCCATCTACAGGCCTTTAATCAACCCTTAGTTGAGGACCCTTAGTGTGTTGGCGTTACCAACCATGTTGGACCACCATCAAAATCATTTATATTATCACGAGACTCAAACTCTTGATGAGGAAAAGAAACAGAAGTTCAACAGCTATATGACTTTAACAGCTAACAACCGACACTATAGTAGGGCGGGCTTCACCTCTGTCTCTTAGCAGCTTGCAAAGGTACTGTGTTGGTTTCTTCCATCCCTTATAAATCATGATGTTCCATGGCAGAAAGTTGTTAGTAGTTACCCTGTCAATGCTCAAATAATTTCTAGAGCTTCAACCAGATCTTACCAACAAAAGTAAAGACTTCTCTATACCTCCTTGGACAAATTTCAACTAGGGTTGTAAACCAACCTACCTAACCCTACAAAACCATCAGAACAAAGTAACAAACTAATGAAACTAGCAAAACTGGTTGCATTTTTTTAATCTTTTTTCTGTGGAAAAAAAGAAGGGCCAGAGACTGATAGGTTTTCCAACATTTCAATGGAGTGATGCATGATGTGACCCAGAAGTCCAAAACTGCTCCAGAAACCGTTTGCATTTCGGATTATCAAAGATGGTTATCGCAATTCACAAGACTTTCCAAAACTCTCTTGTTAGCCCACATGTTTGCTGCATCAACCTCCCCTCCCATCTAACCACCCAAACCCAAATCCAGCTAAATAAAAGTAAGCTCCGGTCAGGGGTATTGTTGTCAATAACCAAGGAAATGAAAATATAACAATAGGGGAATTTGGTCAATAATTCGATTCCTGAATCCTGACAGCATTTCCATTATTAATGGAGCAAAGTGGAATTGATTTGATCAGAACTTTTATTTTTCTTTTTCTACGTGAGACTAAAGACCTCCCATCACGCTTGTATTATTCATCCAAAAACATTCCCTTCTGGGAGCGTGTCTCATGCACTGCTCGGTGGTCTCAACGTAACATCCTGCTCCTGCCTGTAGTTTCGGTGCAATTCACACGGTTTCCAACTAAGCAAATTGTTATTGTTTGTCAATCCTCGTTGTGGGTCAGAACTTGGGCTGCTACCAGATTTTAAGCCTTCATTTCTGCGTTTGTGTATTTGTAAATTCCGGAGGCATCTATTTCTTCAAAAGAGAGTCTAAAATTTCAACCGACTCTACTTGAAGAGAATCAATCCCTTTTGTAGATGGCTTTGAATTATTTGGTCAAAGAAACGTGTACCATATGTCTGAAAGAGTGATTCCAAACGCAAAGAATAAACCATACAGAATCTGGGACATTGCTCTTCTTCTTCCAAACCCCTTTCAAGACCAGGCTGAATCAAGTGTAAACTGAATGAAAAGAATCCATCAGAAAGTGTAAACTGTAAAGAGATTACTCTATACAATAAAGAAAAGAATAGAAAAAAAAATGCAGAAGAAGAAAGAAAGAAAGAAAGAAAGAAAGAAAGAAAGAAAGAAAGAAAAAGAAAGGATGTAATCATATGGTGGTAAATAGTCAATAGTCAACCCATAACACAGTATTGCTATTTGCTAGATATATCATGTATTGTTGTATCCTTTATAATTTTTCCTCTCCCACCTGACCATATCAATGAAAGAATTATGTAAATATTACCAACACAATGAAGAATAGAAGATAAAAAAATAGTTGGGCATCACAGTGGAGTGTGTATGCCGTTACAAAACAGGCACAGATATTGAAACTGGAACAGACACATCCCCAGCAAAACTTGAACTCCGATCTGAAGCTGAGTTGCCGGCGAATGGGTATCCAACTCCAACTCCCCATCCTCCCATGGGCATTGCCGCAGTAGCCTCACACCTCTGGCAAACTCTGGCAAGGGATGCTGCTTTCCGTCTTGCCCTCTTTGTGCCCGTAAACAGCAGTGTCTGAAGAAGGCTTGCCAATGCGGGTGCCCTGGCCACCCTCTGGGTTGTGGCTATGCCACCGCTCCGGCACAACTCGAGCAGTGCCGCCACTGCATTCTCTTTTCCCTTTGGAGTTCCCCTCCGCATCATCCCAATCAATCCTGTCACAGCCAGCTCCTCATTTCCAACTGCTGCAGCCCCAATTGGCTGCCTAACGATCAAGGCCAATGCTCCTGCTGCCTCCTCCGCCACTCCTTCAGTTCCCAAAGCCCCCACCAGGGCTGTTACTGCCCCTGATTCTATCATTCTCTCACAATTCTCTGAGTGGGTGGACAGGTTAAACAGTGCTGTTACTGCATCCTTCTTTCCTCTCAGACTTCCCTCCCTGAGAAGTCCTGCCAGGGCCTCAACTGCTCCTTCCTCGCTTGTGATTCTCTTCTTGTAGTCATGAACTGCGGAGAGGCTGAAGAGTGTTGCTGCAGCATTTTCCCTTGCCTCTGTAGTGTGCCCAAATCTTAGAACCTCGACTATAGATGTCAAGCATCCTTCTTCCTCCATAATTCGGCTCTTGTTCTTGTCGTAAATGGATAGATTCAGAATTGCGGTTACTGAATTCTCTTGTGCAACTGGGTCTGGTGAAGAGAGTAGCCGACGAAGAAGGGGGATTGCTCCTGCTTCTGCAATGCAGGCACGGTTCTCCTTTCCAGTTTTTGCAAGCAACCTCAGCTCACGGGCAGCAACTGTTTTTGCCCCCTGTGACCCATTTGATAGCTGTTGGATGAGAAGCTCGGCTGTTGCTCTGTTAGCTGCAATTGCAGCCTTGGTAGATGGTGGCGTTGAAACAGCTTCTGCAGGCGTATCAATGTTTTCAGGTGGATCAAAGCGGATTCCATGAGCTGTGCACCATTGGGAAATAAGGTTTCGGAGAGCTCTATTCGGAACAAGACGCGTATGAGAAAGCATCTGCCCTGTCTTTGGGCAGGTACAGTGGCCTTCTTCCATCCACCGAGAAATCGACGATCGATCATATGTCTGCCCAGTGGAAATTATCACTGGATCTCTCATCAAATCCAATGAGATTGGGCAGCAGAAATCCTTCGGAATTGTAACGAAGGTCTCCCCAATTTCCTGATAAATAAGACCCTTCCGTGCCTTCTTTTGATTCCCAGAACCCATTTCTTCTTCTTCCTCAAATCCGAAAAGCAAGAATCTGCAATATCTAGTGAGCGCGAGAAAGCCATTGAGTACTGATACAGTTGGCTCAACGTCCCCTTCGTTATTGTAAATGTGCTCCTCTAGAAACTCAATCTCGGCTCTACAAATTTTTGCCTCTCGAATCCCCAATTTTTCGATAAAGAATGTCCGAAGCTCCGCAGCATCAGGTATTCGTCCCCGCTCGAATTCATCAAGGAAGGAGTAGAGGCGGAGTCTGAGATTTTCATCATGTTGATCGACGAATAACTTGGCTCTTCGTGCTTGCTTCCGCATAAGCTCTAAATGCTCTCTAACGTCGGGAGTTAGACCAAGCTCTTTCAACGGCAAAACATCAAGAAGCGTGGAGATTTCCTGGTTGAGGTCATGGAAGTGGCCAGAAATCGAGGAATTCAGTAGGAGAAGCCACAATCGGCTCGACTGGGAGCAGTAATCTAGAAGAATCTTTGAACGATAAATGAGCAGATAAAGCTCCTTCAGACAAAGAACAGCAGTAGACGGAAGAGTAGAGCCAGAATCCCTGAGAAAATCAAAGAGGACGACAAAGACCTCTATCTTCTGAATCAGCGACCTAGAATTCTTCCGCTGGAAGGGGAGCGCTCGATGCGAAAAGGACGAGATCAACTCATTAGCAACGACAGAGAGCGTCTGAACCAGCGCGACGTCGCTGAGCTGGACCGGAGCCAAGAAAGCCTCCGAGGACGGTGTTCTTCTTCTTCGCAAAGAGGAGAAAATAGCAGCCGATGCCATAGAACTTAAGTTAAGGATTCAAAACCCTCTTCCTCTTTCTCTCCTCCTTCTGACGAAATGAGAAATCAACCTCAACCAAACCTTTTCCCAACCTTCACCTTTACAGACCTCTGATCCCTCGATCAGATTTCCCACACGAAAGAACAAAAAGAATAATTTTTTTATTCACGACCCGGAAATTTGAAGAAGAAAGCAATCTACTCTCCTCCAAAATCAAGATCTAAATCACCTCCAATATATTAGAATTCCTAAAGAAAGAACAAATATATATAAAAAAAAAAGAAGAAAGAAGTAAAATCCTTCCTTTCTATTCTGCTCTGCTGATCTGCGAAGCGAAGCAAAGAGAACCCAAAAGAAACGAAACCCTTTTAAAGTAAGTACCGATGATGAAGATCTCTAATCTCTAACACTTACGGTAAGGCTTCTTTGTTGCAAGTTGTTTGAATCTTCAAACCGTTGCGGCTGAGTTCGAAATGGAATCCCTTTTAAAGTAACGATTCGATGCTTTCGACCATTTCCGCGTTTTAGAAATACGATCGATCGTTTTTCTTCCTCTGTTGTTCTTCTCTCCCTGGAAGTTTCATGGCTGCTGCCTTGCTGAAAACGACTACTTCCATTGTCCACACGAACCGCTCTCTCCGCTACAAATAATACTCTCTCTCTCTCTCTCTCTCTCTCTCTCTCTCTCTCTCTTCGGAGCAGGTTAGATTACATGATTTAATGGCGATAATGACCGAATCGTTTTTCGGAATTACCAAAACTGTCCCGACTTTATCAAGACGTGACGTCACCGTAGAATCTTTATAGCTTCCGGAAACGCTTTGTTTTGCCTTCCAATAAAGCAAGGGAATGAGATAATGTTGAGTCTGACTTCAATCAGAATGCACACTTCCCATTAATCAGAATGGCCGTTTAAGCCGTTATTAACGGCGTTATAACTGTAATAAACCCTTAACGGTAGCAATGTTTTTTACCTGTCATTGAGCTAGATGGTCGAACCTGATCACTCGGCCTTTATTTTAGGTCTGATTTTTATATAACTTATGTTTTCACAAAAAAAAAAAACCATTAACTTGGTTAAAACTTATTTAATGAATTTAAATTGATGCCCCATAGACACATCTCAACGTACATTGAAAATATTTCCTGTACTTGTTATTAGGAGATGTTTCCGGTGCACACTTGAGATGAATTTAAATTGATTTTACAAAAAAAAAACTATTAACTTGGTTAAAACCTATTTAATGAATTTAAATTGATGCCTCATAGACACATCTCAACGTACATTAAAAACATTTCCGGTACTTGTTATTGAGAGATGTTCCCGATTGAGATCTATTGTAGGCCTGTGGGGTATGCTCTGTGGAGTGCTGATGCAAATTTTTATTTGATCGGGTCATCAAATTTAATCAAAATACAAACTTTCATAGTCCATTTGGAGTGATATTTATATCCATTTTGGACATTTTTCAGATTTAAATGTAACGCTTTGATGCTTTGTCTCAATATTTTTGTAAAAAATCTTTTTTGACAGCAAATCTAAAGTTTTAATATTTTTATAATTAAAAATAAAATAATATATAATATAATTATATATAATTTTATTAACGGTCTGATTTGTAAATTGAATGCAAACTCCGAATCCGTTTTCAAACATCATAGATACTAGTGTTTATGCTACACTTAATTCTTAGATTTTATTGTAACGAACGTGATAACGGTTTTAACGGCGAATAACCGTCAAAGGGTGCTTCTCTTTCTACTGTATGCTTGAATCCGAGAAAAGGAAAGAAAAAAAGGTAAAATACAAAAACTTTCCCTTCAATTTTTGACAATCATAAAAACCTCTACTATAATTTCACATTAGCAAAAATCACCCCTTGATTTTTAAAGAATTCGACAAAAAGCTCTCTTCTGTTAATAACCAGGACGAAAAACATTAAATTGATTAATCATTTTTATAAATACCAATTTTACCTTTGCCAGCATGTTATCCCCTTTTCCTCAACTGTCAACCTCTTTCTTCTTCAACTGGCCATACCTTTGAAACTCCACTTTCAACATCCAAGGTTCATGTTTGAACTAGACATCCAGATTCCTACAGCCTTCCATACCTTTACAAAGGCAAATGCTAAGGACTTGGGTACTGGGGCAAGAGTATGTGCATGTGCGTATACAATAGAGAAATGGTTGGAAAATCCTAACAGTGTAGGGTTTGAAGAAGGAATTCAATTGCTTTAAAATACTCAAGGGTCTAAAGAAGGAATTTTGCTACAATGGTACTATTGTCTAGGACCCAAAACTAGGCCAAGTTATTCAACTTCAAGGTGATGATCCAGTAGAAGAATGTGTCGACATTCCTTGTTCAGGCTGGAATTGTGAAGAAGGAAAGTATCAAGGTTCATGGTTTTTGAGCAGCAATAGACCAGTCCCTACATTATCATACTTTACATATGTCAGCAGAGAACTCCACTATCCCAAGAAGAGGGACACAACATTGATTTCACCAATCCAAACCCATTATTTATCTCTCTCTTTTCTTCTCCTCCCTCATTAGTGTCCCTATACAACATCGAATCGCCCCCACACAACCCGAATCTCCACCGCAAATACAGCACCACCATCGGAACCACGGTGGTTGTCATTCCCAACCAAGCGTCATCTAAAGAAGAAGACAGGTCGTCAAGTTTGCACTCAGATCAATGGTGATGACCGTTGGTCATATTCAAACGCCAAACAGAGAGAGAGAAAGAGAGAGGTCATGTTATGTTATGAGTTATTATCATTCTTCAATCTTCATTGCAGTTTGCAAGATAACTGACAGTTAACCTACAACCTCCACTTTTCCAATATAATAGTGTATGGTCCCTCAAATCTCAATTAAAGATTCATCAGATTCCATGTTCTATTCAGTTGGAATACGGCTGGATTGATTTCATGTTCTTATGGTTAAAAGACAGAGCTAGATTAATTTGATGCGTTGGAATACAACACCGAACCGCACCCACAGGGAGGTGGTTCCAATGGTAGTTGGGTGTATTGTAGAGAGACGGTGAGGAGGGAGGAGAAGAAAAGAGAGCTGAATAATGGGTTTGAATTGGTGAAATCAATGTTGTGTTCCTATTCTTCAGACGGTGGAGTTTAGGGGTAAAGAGGTCGACGAGAAGGGAAAGAGTATAACATGTCAGCAAGGATATTATTTTAGTAAAAATAGATGCAAATTAATTTACAAAAGGATAAAATAGGTATTAAAAAAAATGTTTTTTTGGTTTAGTGCTTTCCGTCTTAGACATTGATAGAAGGGAAGTTTTTGTTGATTTTTTTTTTTAAAATCTAGGAGAGGATTTTGTTAAAGTAAAACTATAAGGGAGGTTTTTATGATTGCCAAAAACTTTTGGAGAGGTTTTTGTATTTTACCTAAAAAAGGAAATCTCTCGTAGCTTTTAATTAAGGAGATGAGAGAGATGATGCCTCGAGATGCTTGTCAACGCTAATGTGTTTTTTTTACTGAAATTAGATAAAGTTCATGTGTTTTCTCACCCGTTAGGCTTAGCCTAGGCTAAAGCCGCTAACCAAGGAAATTAGTCAATGCCCCAAATTAATGAGCATGTGCAGTTGGTGCATCTACAACCAATGCTTTATATGGATTTATATGGGATAATGACGGTTCAGCCTAGGGTCAGAATTTTTGGGCCCAAGTGGGTGCCAACTCGGAATTGATGCTAATTTATAAGCGGGCATTGATGTATAGAGTGTGGGGTTTTTGATCCGTTAGATTTAAGGTTAAAATTCCCACGTCCTTGTCTCCAACTTGGTCAAACCAGGATTCAACCCATTTAGGCATTTCATCCTCAAGTAGGGATGGCAAATTTTCCCATTTTTCTTATTCTCTTGGGATCCATTCCAAATAGATAAGGATGAGGATAATTTTTTGAGCACAGAGAGAATTTTTTATCCTGTTGGTGGGGATGGGGAGAGTAATCCCTACCTTATTGGGTTGGGATTTTTGTAGAGCGGGAATGGGAGTGGCTCCCCGTCTCTTCCCCGCCGTATTGCCATTCCTAGTCATAAGTAGGGCCATTAATAGATTGGATTCAACAAAATCCTAACCTAATTCACTTTAATTTTTTAAATAAAAAATAAAAAGTTAATTATTTTTCAACTTTTATATATAATAAATTAATGTAAATATAACATAGTGAATTTATTACATATAAATTCATATATAATATAATATATAAAAAACATATTATTTGTAATTCCAAATATAACAAATAAAATTTATATATTAAAATCAATAAATATTATAATATAATCAAATTCAAATTTTAATTGGATTTGGATGGAGTAAAATTCTAATCCGATCTAATTATTAATTAGATGTAGATTGCAAAATCCGAATCCAATCCAATTACATAAATACATCATCTAAATCTAAGATAATTGGAACGAATGAAAATTTTGCAAGGATCAGCCATTTCATGGTCACAAGGATCAATTGGAACAAACGAATCCGATCTAATTGATGGCTTTAATTCAGTCATTTCATGGTCACAAGGATCAAAATTTTGCAATGTATCACTCAATAGTATCATATATATAACTTTTTTGGGATGACCTATTTCTAGGGTAAGAAGGCCTTTAGACCGACCCGTTTGATCAATTTTTGAAAAGAAAAAGGAAGGCGGTATTAAAAGTAGGAATTTTACTTTTTTATGCTTTTACTAATTTTAATATTTCTAGATTATTTTTTTATTAATTATTTATCATTAACATTAGTTTTCTTATGTATGTGTTTTATATTTTTATATTATTTTTAATTTTTTGAATCCATCCACTAATTTTTTATTAATTCATATTAATTATGGTTAAATTGATGATCACATGTTAAATAAATTTATATTATTAATTTTTAATTTTCTTTAAAAAGCAAAAAAAAAATATTATTCTAAATCGATATCGTAAATTGTCTCACATTGTGTATCTGAGATACATGGAATCAAAACACAGGATGTGGAATAGTGTCCTGTAATTGAGAATACACTACCAATCTCTCATTTATATTACAGAACATCCCTAAATAAAACTAAGAGATGTAATAGAAGCACCTAAAATGCCACATCTGGGTATCAGGATGTATCAATGCCTTGAAGCCTTGATGATTTTTTTTTTTTTCCTTCAATTTCTTTCTTACATCGGAAGCCATATGAGTCTTGTACGTAATAATCTTCTGAAAAATATCATTAAAACATAATCTTATATGTGATGTGCTTACATGTATCTCTCGCCAATTTGTGTTGACCAACCCACAACGTTTTAGGTATAAACATCAATGCTACTTGTTGCCAAATACAAACACAAGCGAAGTATGATATATTAAAGGGACTAATGCCCCTTTAACAAGGAAGATAGGATTGAAGTCGTCTTCATCATCAGTTTTGGATAATGGAGTTGGTCCTGGTCTTGCCTACCCCACCTAATTTAATCCCATCAGCTAACATCCCCACTTAAGAATATATACAATGAGTTAATAAGAATTTTTATATAAAATGAGTGAATAATTTACTAGGTTTTGGTTAAGGTTCAAAGTATTGATGCGTATCGGGTCATATCAGCTGATACGTATTGTACTAGGAGCTTTCTGATATGTCCCTA